ACAAATGACACGTCATAACAATAAAATCTACTATCTTATCTTCTTTCTCATCATGTTGTATTAATGAACTGATTCGTCAACGCCGTCCTACATGAATCTCATCATGTGTCATTATCTTCAAAGACACAATGCTAATTATACATCCAGTAATACATTTATAGAAAAACAGAATTGTACTAGCATCCATCAATACTATACACAATAATACTACAATCACATGTTTCTACTGTTGTGGACTTTCTTTTCTGGACTTTTCCTGAAACAGCTTATATTCTATGTGTCATAAGTGATATTTTCAAACACAAACATGAAAAGTCTGTTCCGTAGATTTACATCACCCACAGGTTCAATCACAGAGTACTCCAAATATGTACAGGCATCATTCCTTCAAATACAAATATTCCTGACACACCTCAAGTTTCACTGTTAACAAAGATCTCTTTAACCAACATCATGATCCCTTAAATAGATGATATTTACCAGCCTATTAAAGTAAATGAAGTCCTATATAATATTCTGAATTTTACAATCTATGTATTTGTTTTATATCAAAACATTTGCCTTCTGTTATCTCAATTGCCCTTAAGTGGCAGAAATTTTATTTTGCCTTTCTTCATTACTGATTATCTACGTTTATTTCTGTTGGATTTCTCAGAGTAGACTTTAAAGCACATTACACAATCAACACTAATAACAGTGCGTATCATATGCCTCTGAAGAATGTGTGACATGCGCCAAAGATGAGTTTGTAGATGTAATGCTCTTCCAATATCTCCCATTTCTTTCCTAACAGCTCACGATTTTCATTACATGACATATCCACGACAACCAGACCTTTGATAGCCTCACTCTAGGGAACCACATTCAAGTGCAAACCTTTTCTGCTAACAACTATGAAAAAAATAGTCCATTTACAATTCTCAAGCTGGAGAACAACTCGACAGTTGTTACTCAATTCAATTATTTGGAACCTTTCAGATATTACATCCAACGCAGATCTCTACAGTTGTATTTTTGTTTCCCGAGTCACTATGACTGCTGTGTTACAAACACAAATTGGGGACAACAAGGTCATGTACTTTTATGTTCTAACAAAGTTTTATTACAATGATTTCATATGTGATTACAATGTTGAGCGTCCTATAGCTACCACCAGGCGAGAGGCATCGTCCAAACATCTTACAATTCACTTGATTTTGGTTAACGGTGACTGTAAGACAATCATCGTCCAGACATCTTACAATTCACTCGACCATCGTTTACAGTGACCATGAAACAATCATCATCCAGACATCTTACAATTCACTCGACCATCGTTTACAGTGACCATGAGACAATCATCGTCCAGACATCTTACAATTCACTCGACTATCGTTTACAGTGACCATGAGACAATCATCGTCCAGACATCTTACAATTCACTCGACCATCGTTTACAGTGACCATGAGACAATCATCGTCCAGACATCTTACAATTCACTCGACTATCGTTTACAGTGACCATGAGACAATCATCGTCCAGACATCTTACAATTCACTCGACTATCGTTTACAGTGACCATGAGACAATCATCGTCAAGACATCTTACAATTCACTCGACTATCGTTTACAGTGACCATGAGACAATCATCGTCCAGACATCTTACAATTCACTTGACTATCGTTTACAGTGACCATGAGACAATCATCGTCCAGACATCTTACAATTCACTCGACTATCGTTTACAGTGACCATGAGACAATCATCGTCCAGACATCTTACAATTCACTCGACTATCGTTTACAGTGACCATGAGACAATCATCGTCCAGACATCTTACAATTCACTCGACTATCGTTTACAGTGACCATGAGACAATCATCGTCCAGACATCTTACAATTCACTTGACCATCGTTTACAGTGACCATGAGACAATCATCGTCCAGACATCTTACAATTCACTCGACTATCGTTTACAGTGACCATGAGACAATCATCGTCAAGACATCTTACAATTCACTCGACCATCGTTTACAGTGACCATGAGACAATCATCGTCCAGACATCTTACAATTCACTCGACCATCGTTTACAGTGACCATGAGACAATCATCATCCAAACATCTTACAATTCACTTGACCATCGTTTACAGTGACCATGAGACAATCATCGTCAAGACATCTTACAATTCACTCGACCATCGTTTACAGTGACCATGAGACAATCATCGTCAAGACATCTTACAATTCACTCGACCATCGTTTACAGTGACCATGAGACAATCATCGTCAAGACATCTTACAATTCACTGGACCATCGTTTACAGTGACCATGAGACAATCATCGTCAAGACATCTTACAATTCACTCGACCATCGTTTACAGTGACCATGAGACAATCATCGTCCAGACATCTTACAATTCACTCGACCATCGTTTACAGTGACCATGAGACAATCATCGTCAAGACATCTTACAATTCACTCGACCATAGTTTACAGTGACCATGAGACAATCATCGTCCAGACATCTTACAATTCACTCGACTATCGTTTACAGTGACCATGAGACAATCATCGTCCAGACATCTTACAATTCACTCGACCATCGTTTACAGTGACCATGAGACAATCATCGTCAAGACATCTTACAATTCACTCGACCATCGTTTACAGTGACCATGAGACAATCATCGTCAAGACATCTTACAATTCACTCGACCATCGTTTACAGTGACCATGAGACAATCATCGTCCAGACATCTTACAATTCACTCGACCATCGTTTACAGTGACCATGAGACAATCATCGTCAAGACATCTTACAATTCACTCGACCATCGTTTACAGTGACCATGAGACAATCATCGTCCAGACATCTTACAATTCACTCGACCATCGTTTACAGTGACCATGAGACAATCATCGTCCAGACATCTTACAATTCACTCGACCATCGTTTACAGTGACCATGAGACAATCATCGTCCAGACATCTTACAATTCACTCGACTATCGTTTACAGTGACCATGAGACAATCATCGTCCAGACATCTTACAATTCACTCGACCATCGTTTACAGTGACCATGAGACAATCATCATCCAAACATCTTACAATTCACTTGACCATCGTTTACAGTGACCATGAGACAATCATCGTCAAGACATCTTACAATTCACTCGACCATCGTTTACAGTGACCATGAGACAATCATCGTCAAGACATCTCACAATTCACTCGACTATCGTTTACAGTGACCATGAAACAATCATCGTCAAGACATCTCACAATTCACTTGACTATCGTTTACAGTGACCATGAGACAATCATCGTCAAGACATCTCACAATTCACCTGATTATGGTTCAGGTGACCATGAGACAATCACATCATGTTATAATATACAGTGTATATCAAGATTATCGTACATTTTGCACATACTGCCGAGATACAAATTCTCACCCAAAGTCAGGGATCGGGCAGGTTTATAATGGTATGCACATTATATCAGGGTAGCTATACATTGAACAGCCACGGGCTTATTGAAGGGCCACGGAAGTAGCCTTTATCATGCAATATGTAAACAAATTGGGCTTACAACTTCCAGACAGGCAATATATACAGAGTTACCAAGTAACCACAGACCACTGGACAGGTAAGGGCTAATAACCATGAACAGGTGTGATCTTATAGAAATCCAGTGTAGTAACCTTAACTGTGCAACATATACAGGGTGGACTTATAACCACCAGACAGACAGGGCTTATTGTAGGCCAGTGTACAACAGGTGTACTGATAGTCACCAGGCACACTGGGCTTATTGCAGCCCAGTGTACAACAGGTGTACTGATAGTCACCAGACATGCTGGGCTTATTGTAGGTCAGTGTACAACAGGTGTACTGATAGTCACCAGGCACACTGGGCTTATTGCAGCCCAGTGTACAACAGGTGTACTGATGGTCACCAGACATGCTGGGCTTATTGTAGGCCAGTGTACACCAGGTGTACTGATAGTCACCAGACATGCTGGGCTTATTGTAGGTCAGTGTACAACAGGTGTACTGATAATCACCAGACATGCTGGGCTTATTGCAGGTCAGTGTACAACAGGTGTACTGATAATCACCAGACATGCTGGGCTTATTGCAGCCCAGTGTACAACAGGTGTACTGATAATCACCAGACATGCTGGGCTTATTGCAGCCCAGTGTACAACAGGTGTACTGATAGTCACCAGACATGCTGGGCTTATTGTAGGTCAGTGTACAACAGGTGTACTGATAGTTACCAGACATGCTGGGCTTATTGCAGACCAGTGAAGTTGCCAGTGTACACCAGGTGGGCTGATAACCACTGGACAGGTCTAATAGCTTGAGAAGTACAGTTAGGGTTTAACAGATAAATTGAGATTGTATTAATTAAGCCACACATCCTCCTTACATGGAAATTAACAGTGAATTCTGTCTGTGTGTTATAAAATAATTTACAGATAGAAATCAGAGTGGAACACCTAGTCTATTACAAAGTTCCTTCAATACTCAAACACAGACCTGATTTAAACAAAGAAGATCTAATACAAGTGTCCATCAATAATTTGATAAGAAGAGTGTCGGGCACAGAATCAGGAAACATGCATACATTATATAAGTAAAGGTTTAGCAATCAACTGATATCTTTCATTAAGGATTCCTTTTACAAATTTTATACAAAATTGGTGTTAAAATGGGCTGGCTTTGTAAACCTTTAAATATGCCTGTATTTAATTTATACATAACCTGAAATAAAATCCTGTTGTCATTCAAATTGTTAAGGAGTATCCTGATAGTATACATGCACACATAAAGATAAATGTCATGTCCATGATAAGTCATCGCTTCATAAACTCTACAACAAATTTCTACAGCAGATCAGAACAGTGACCTACAAGTCAGGCACAAACAAACAGCATATCATTTACTTCACAAACATGTTGAATTAAACAATCCTAGAGAAGACAGCATATTTTAAGTTTACAAACCTGTTAAATCTGAGAATGCCATAATCCAACAAAAAATCCGAACATCAATGAAATAAGGGTAAGTAACAACACAAACCATCAATGGCTCTTCTGATTTTTTTTGACAATTCCCTGTTGGTGCCCTCCCTCATTTACTGTTGAAAAGGAAGCAAGACAGTCTAGAAATTGTCATATCCCTGTCTGTGTTTGTCCTATAATGGTTAGGACTGGCTACAGTTTGTCTGCACATGAACCAATAAATGTAATCATCACCGCAGCTCAGATAGCAGGTTCCCTATGCAACAGACTGTCACTCAATATTACGGTAAGAAACAGCAAATGTTTACAAGGATATAATGTGTTATTGTGTCTTACAATATTGGCTATTTATCTATAACAAGTTTGTAATTTATATGATACAGAACTGATAGCATCATATACTTCTAAATCATGTAAATTGTAAAATGTTGCTGAAGTGGATACCATGGTATATATTAACAGCCCCTGAAACATATGGTATATTTCACAATGAACCTGCAATGCTCATCTGTAAAGTACAATTCAAAATCAAAATATGAAGAATTTCAAAAAAAAAAAAAAGAATTTTAAAAATAGATAACATGATCCCCCAAAGGGTTAGACCAACAGTTCAATGGAATCTGAAAAAAAAATCCATTCCTACAACAAATATATATTTAAGAATTTGTTGAATTTATCAAGCCCCAACCCTCAAGCTCCTGGAGGCAAAAACCCAACATATTCACAAAAACTGGCTCATTTTCCTTCTACATATATGAATGTTACTGACTAAATCATAAAGTAAAAAAAAAATCATCCTTTATTTCCCCTATTGGGCCCTGCCCTTGCGGCCCCTTGGGAGTAATACCAACAGCAAATACAAAGTTGATTATCCTGCCCCAAGGATACTTCAGACCAAATTTGGTAAAAAAAGCTTTAATCCCTAAAGAAGAAGGATCTTAAAGCTAATCCTCCCATTAAGCTGGTTTGCCCCCATTAGGGTAAGATACATTATTTACAATAAAGTAGTTTAGAGATGACAAACTCTGTGCCATAGCATAAGGTTACCATCCTTTGGACCAGGTGAACTAAAAAGGGCAAAGAGGAAGGTGAATGAAATGTAAAGGGGTAATTTCTAGTACGCCTTGATATTGTTTCTGGTTTGTAATTCTGAAAACGTTTTACTGATTTATTGGATATCTTCTTTACTTCCTCTTTTTTTTTCTTATACATACAATTCAAATCTTAATTGAATAGTAAACTTTTGACTCAATAAATGTTAGGATGTTTACCGTACACTTATGTATTGGTTAAAAGTGATGTGGTACAGCGAAAGTGGTTCCATTTTCTATGTAGAAGTAACATGCGATAGAGACACACAATACATGACACCAATCCTGTTTGAGTGAGATTGTATTACAGAACCTGTCCCGCACAAGATGTCATAACCTGCACTCACACCTATCTACCTTTACCCCTACCATGTAGGGTCCATCCCATATATGCATTATTCATGCATAAATCCCACAACAGCTCAATGTAACCTGTCTGTTAACATACCATCTATTTATTCAAACATTGTCCTCAAAAATATGTAAGTTATATCCCTGATTCATTAAAAGGTGATTTACATTACTACCAAATTGTAATCGACACTTAATGGTCAGTAACTGACATCTACCAAATTGTAACCGACACTTAATGGTCAGTAACTGACATCTACCAAATTGTAACGGACACTTAATGGTCAGTAACTGACATCTACCAAATTGTAATCGACACTTAATGGTCAGTAACTGACATCTACCAAATTGTAATCAACACTTAATGGTCAGTAACTGACATCTACCAAATTGTAATCGACACTTAATGGTCAGTAACTGACATCTACCAAACTGTAATCGACACTTAATGTCAGTAACTGACATCTACCAAACTGTAATCGACACTTAATGTCAGTAACTGACATCTATCAAACTGTAATCGACACTTAATGGTCAGTAACTGATATCTACCAAATTGTAATCAACACTTAATGGTCAGAAAAACATTTTTTTTCACACTTTTGAATTTATTTTTACACTTTGATATTAAAAGGTGATTTTTTCTTTAAATAAACAGGTAACTGTTACATACAGATATTTTGTTAAGACAGATCTTTGCTATATATGGGTGACTTATATAGACAATTAATTGTTAAATATACAGATGGCCTTTATTGACAGGTAATTGTTATAAACAGGTGACCTATATAGACAGGTATTTGCTTTCTACCATTGACCTTAAATTTATTGATGGTAATTAATATATACATGTAACAGAGGTCATTATTTATTTCTTGCCTACCATTGACCTTAAATTTATTGATAAAGAGAAGTTCTTAATATATACATGTAACAGGGTTACATACAGGTATTTTTTATTGAGATATTTGCTATATATTGGTGGCCTTTATAGACAGGTATTTTCTACATACCATTGACCTTTATAGACAGGTAATTGTTATATACGGATGGTCTTTACAGACAGGTATTTTCTACATACCATCAACCTTTACAGACAAGTAATTGTTATATACAGGTGGTCTTTATAGACAGGTATTTTCTACATACCATCAACCTTTACAGACAAGTAATTGTTATATACAAGTGGTCTTTATAGACAGGTATTTTCTACATACCACTGACCTTTATAGACAGGTAATTGTTATATACAGATGGCCTTTACAGACAGGTATTTTATACATACCATCAACCTTTACAGACAAGTAATTGTTATATACAAGTGGTCTTTATAGACAAGTATTTTCTACATATCATCAACCTTTATAGACAGGTAATTGTTATATACAGGTGGCCTTTACAGACAGGTATTTTCTACATACCATCGACCTTTATATTGTTGTATACATGTGGCCAGCATGGCAGATTGGACTACCTTAAAGTAAGAGTGCAACATCAATGAAATGATTTCATGCTAGAAAAAATTCATTACCATATATGTACAAATACCCATATACCATGTAATCAGAATCTCACAAAGACACCTGAAAATTTGATTAAAGAACAAACAATCAATTTGAAGCTAAAGATAACTGCACTGATTCAACTTATCAGCTTTAACTTGACTGACAAATAAGTAATGACACCAATTTGACAGAACTTATAGACTTGTTGAAAAAAGCTTTGTCTAAGGTCTGTTAAATATTCCCTTGTATTATTATTCTAATCAAGCACTGTAAAATGTTCTGACAATGGATGTTAAACTGACAGATCTGATAAAACGAAATGTCTTAACAGGCAAATATTTTGTGTACCTGTTGAAGTGTTTACCTGGACGTAATGTACCTATGGTTTAATCAATTATGACCCTGCATGGTGCTGGTCTTATAATGTAGGATTAAAGTAGATCATGTTGTGATCAGCTCGGCTTTCCATAGATTGTTGACATCTACCGGCATACCTGTACACTGGCCTGTGTGTTACACAGTAAATTTACAGGTGAACATTTTGAATAGACATGTCTGTATATGTGACAAAAACACTACTTTATATAGGAAAATTAGAATTTCAGATAAAACTAGCACGTCAAACAACTTGGAGCTCTCTGATCAGCTTTTATGTATGTACAGGTGATTATGTATGTTAACATGTCCTAAATTACTAGAAATAGGACATCCATTTCTGAAATGTTGATTTCTATAATAACAGGTGTGAAGAAATTGATGGATGGAGGTGAAGAAGGGGAAGGAAGGATGGAATAATCAATTTTCTGCATTATTAGGTTAAGTTGGAGACCTTAAGGCTCCAACGATGAAATTGAATAACTTGAATTTGCATAAACAGTGAGAGAACTATTTTAGTTCCCATGTGTAAAGGAAAGATGATGGTTGACCTCAGGTGACCCTTAAAATTAAAATTGTCAGTAAAGAAAAAAATTGTCTACTGTTGTAAGTGTATAAATGGTTAGTGTTATAGATCAAGTGTTTACAAATGTGTGAGAAAACAGCCCCAACAACAGCCGATAATTTTTGAGAGCTATAATTCTGTCAAATGACAAAAACACCAACTATAAATATACATAGAAATCATCACTCACCTTTCCTTCAGTACACTGTGTGTTCCGTGGTGTAGTGATAGAATCAACAGTGACATTAAAATACAATTAAACTCATCCCTCCAGCATTACATTCATCTGTCAAAACTTGCCTATACACAAATATCTCCTCACTTGAGGAGCTATAACAGTGTCATCCGTCCAGATTCCTCATATTTCCTACATCATCATTATGGTCCTCAAACATATGTCAAAACTTACTCAATCCATACATGATATACACCACCGCGTGTCAGATTTGCATTTACCACAGCGTGGTCATGCGTTTTTACCAGCCGAGTAACTTGTATGTTTAAATGTACTAATTTAATTCCTTCTCTCCTTACCTGACCCTGGCATTATTACCTGACAGAGTCGGGGTAACACCTGTATATAATCTGACTTACAGGCATTTCCTGACTACCTGGACATGCAGTTAGGTTGCCGGTACCTACGTTACCTGTACATAATTAAAGTATTTGTCAGAAATGTCACTTCCATTCGAACTTGGTAAACTTCAAGGCAATTAACTCACAGTAATGTTCAGGTACTGGTTGGAATAACAGTCACAGGTATTAGAGGTTACCCAGCAACGGTATTTATTCACTGTTTCTAATCTTTTGAGAAGTAATATTTAAAATAGGATGAAGACAAAACTGAGCCACATAAAAATACTTGAAAACTCTGATATCTTGATCTAGAATTTACATTATGGTTACAGATAAATCATGATAAATACTGCCCTGTCAGAATCTACAGGTTCCTGTGTACATGGTAAATCATGATAAACCCCTCCCTGTCAGAATCTACAGGTTCCTGTTAACAAGGTTAATCATGATAAACCACTCCCTGTCAGAATCTACAGGTTCCTGTGTACATGGTAAATCATGATAAACCCCTCCCTGTCAGAATCTACAGGTTCCTGTTAACAAGGTTAATCATGATAAACCACTCCCTGTCAGAATCTACAGGTTCCTGTTAACAAGGTAAATCATGATAAACCCCTCCCTGTCAGAATCTACAGGTTCCTGTTTTTAAGATAAATCATGATAAACCACTCCCTGTCAGAATCTACAGGTTCCTGTTAACAAGGTAAATCATGATAAACCACTCCCTGTC